GATATTAAAAGGCCTGATAAATGCATACTACCTTATAATCTTAGGTGCTCTTAACTGCTTGAAATCTATTAAAATAGAATTTGGGGTTTCTTTCATGATGAAATACCATAACCAAAAGCAACTGAAGAGCTTCTTAATTTTGGTTTATAGTTCAAAGGGCTAGAGTCCCTATTGTGAGTAGGGCATGAAATGCCAGCATGAACAAGAAGCTGACTGATGACATCTTTATCCATGCACAGGCATCTGAGAGAGTGAGGCTATAAACTGTCAAAGCCTGCCTCCAGTGATGTACCTCCTCCAGCATGGCTCCACCACCTAATGGTTCTATAACCTCCCTGTAGAGTACCAACAACCAAGGACCAAGTGTTCAAATGTATGACCCTATGGGGAACTTTTATAATTCAAACCACCACAGACACCAACCAAAATCCTGAACATGCTTGCCTTAACACTCCGGGATTTCGCACAGTTTTTTCTACATTCTAGTTTCTTAAAATCTCCATTGCTGACCTTAACTCAAAAGGCGTGACCCTGTCTTCTTCTCCATCTCCATCCTCTCCACAACTGCCAGGATTTACAGCTTGCCCTTCCTGTTGTTTTTATTTTCAAACTCTAATAAAATGGTCTTTGAGCTTCCTTTTGAGTCTGTTTTTAATTTTTTTATTAACGGAAGGAAGGAAGGAAGGAAGGAAGGAAGGAAGGAAGGAAGGAAGGGTAGACAAAGAGAAACGATTCACATATTGACTTGAGGCAGTTTTTATTTCCCTCAATGTTTGTAAGCAGTGAGCAAAAGCAACAGATGGAAGCAAGAGTAGGTGGAGCCCTCTAGTGTTGAAGTCCTTATGCGGGCTTAGAGTATGTAGGGAGCCCTTCAAGCGCTGCAACTGTTGTGTAGGCCTAGGAAGTAGAGATTCCTCAGCCCTTGACTGTGACTGGCATTGCAGTTCAAACAGGCCAATGTATCAGAATTCCTTGACTCTTAAGAGCAGCCAGTGTTACTGATTTTGTGTAAGCTTAGGAAATTGAAATTCCTATACTGTACTAGCTATAGTATAGCTCTTGGCCCAGGATCTGAGATCTTTGATATTTAAGATTTGACAGCTCTATGAAACTCTTCTGATGAACAGAGTCGGCAGCTTATTTTTGCTGTCTCTTTACAGCCTTTTATTTGTCTTCATTCTCAACTCTCTTCCCTTTCTTGCCAGCTCTCTAATTCTACTACCAATTCTGATGCCCTGGCTAGTTTCAGACAGATTATTCAGCTGATTCTTCTTCAGTGGTTAA